AATGTTCCCAGAGATGATGTTCCTGTCCACAATGTTCAAACCCATGATGTTCCTATCCACAATGTTAACGTTTCTACCCATGATGTTCCTATCCACAATGTTCCAACCCATGATGTTCCTCTCCACAATGTTCAAACCCATGATGTTCCTATCCACATTGTTCCCAGACATGATGTTCCCATCTACAATGTTCCCAGACATGATGTTCCTATCCACATTGTTCCCAGAGATGATGTTCCTATCCACATTGTTCCCAGAGATGATGTTCCTGTCCACAATGTTCAAACCCATGATGTTCCTATCCACATTGTTAAGGTTCCTGTCCATGATGTTCATATCCACAATGTTCGTATCTATAATGTTATTTTTCATAATGTTATTTTTCATGGTGTTCGTAAATGATGGTGTTCGTTCCATGATGTTTCTTTCCATGATGTTTCTATCCATAATTTCTTACATAGATCGTATCCAGAATGTTAGCATTTACCATATTTCTATTCCCATTGTTGCTATTCACGATGCTCCTGTACATGATGTTCTTATATATATGAGACACGTGAAGATCCGGTTAGAATTGGTTTTCAGCAACCCTTGCTTGTCGTAAGAGGCGACTAACGGGATCGGGTGGTCAGGCTCGCTGACTTGGCTGACACATGTCATCGGTTCCCAAATGCGTGGAACGATGCTCATGTTGTTGATCACTTGATTGTCTGGTTCGAACTATAATACTTACAGATCGCCGCCATAGAGCTGGAATATTTCTGAATGCGGCGTTAAACAACCAGCCAACCAACCAGCCAACCAACCAACTATTACGTTGATATTTTCCCGACAGAGAACAATTCACATTTGAAACCTGTACAGAAGTACAACTACCAATAATAACGTACAACATGACCGTGTGAAGATAAGCTTAAATCATTTTGTTCACTGAGCAAACTAAATCATTTTGTTCACTGAGCAAAACCACGACCAACATGTAGTATGGGTTGATACTTCTTTGGAAAGGTTTCTGCAACTTTTTTCCTGCCTGACCATTATTGTTCATATTTAAGTTCCATGCTATCTATAATATATCACAAAAGACTATCTATTACAAAACAGAACTTTCTTCTTGTAAGCCTCCATTACAAAATAACACACGTAAGTTTACTAAGGTATGAAAACAGAAACGAAATATATCAGTAATAACATTAATCAATAATATATAATTTTTCGAATCCCTTTGCCTACAAACATAATTCACGAAACGAACCATTTAAGCCTCAGCTCTGTTGTTGTAGCATTTTCAAAAAGAAACTCATATAATGTTCAAAACGTTCATTTAAATGTGATATCGAGTTTGAAGCTGTCATGGAACATTAAACATATTATGATAACAGGAAAGCCCTATGCAAATGCGTCTGTTAAATGAGCCATTCAAACGACAGTATGAAACTAAATTAAGTTTCCAGTAATGTTAAAATTAATATATATAAAATGAAAGGGAAAAAAACATTGTTACGGTATAGTAGTTTTGTATTGGCATTTAAGTTAACAACATCATAACGTCTATCCCTATGTGAACAGTGAGCTGAACTGAAAATGAACATAGATTGTAAAAGTCTGATTTCCCGTCTCGGTGAAGGACAAAACAAGGAATATGTAACTGCGATGCCCGCCCTGTTTAGAGATCTCTGACGAATGCCATTCCCAGAATATCATAATAAATGTCCACAGATTGGACGCCTACTGTCGCAGGGGACCATTACTTTTTTGTAAGGGATGGGGCTAATTTTAGAACAATCAATTTTTCCTAGCTATATTTTGCAAATTATTTTCTAATGAGTATCATAACAAAATCTATTTTCTCATCCAATTATGACGTACGGGTATTTCCCACAAAACAAACTCTTATCTTTATCACCACTGTCAGTAGACAATATTTTGGGCACATTCCATTATGTGAGCCAACCATTCAGTTAAAATGAATGCTCCCTAAAGTTGCTATTCAATGATAAACGTATTGAATTATTGACATATATGACCTCGGATGCTTTAACAAGGAAGTGACCTCGGATGCTTTAACAGGGAAGTAGAGAATGTTGAGCTGTTGCTGCAGCAGGGGCAATGGACGGGTGATATCAAGGGAAGTAGGGGCTGTCTGAATGAAGGGCTAGCGTGGGCGACAATCTTCAGTTTAACGACGATTATTTAATCACTATGAAGAGTTATCGAAGGATATTTGCGCACATATATCCAACAATTCAGAATACAACGGCTACAAATTTGCTGTTTGGGCTGACAGAACATGGAATACTGAAAATGTGTGTAACTGTCCATTTTCAATTTATTCAATGAAAATTGTACACATTTCAGGATGGTAAATAAATAAATAAATAAATAAATAAATAAATAAATAAATAAATAAATAAATAAATAAATAAATAAATAAATAAATAAATAAATAAATAAATAAATAAATAAATAAATAAATAAATAAATAAATAAATAAATAAATTTACATGGAATAGATTAAATGTATTCCAAATGATCTGTCCTCGCGGGGCTTAGAAAGAATCCATGCTCGATCTTATCATCTAGCAATTCTGTCTTACCTATCTAAGTCAAGTGACTACTTTTGCAAACATATTTCAGCACTATAATAAAGTGAAAAATCATTTGCCAATAAAAGACCCTTTTGATATACAGAGCAGTAAAGGATGACTAGGTATATAGATAAGTGCACTGAAGATCACATTATCTGAATATCTGTTGATATCATATACCATATTTTATGGTTTTCATGACAGCAATAAATTCAAAATAAAAACTATACCATTTAGTAAACATAAATCATCACCGCCAGGGAATAATTAGTTAGGGAAACAGATTCAACTGCGCGTGAAAGGATAATAGTGATAGCGATTACATAATAGATCACTGAAAATCATTGGAAAATTATTATGGAGAGTCTCCAAAACACAAAACAAAGTACTTTAGGAAGAAATTACAATGGCATAAAGTTTGTGATCGAGTCACAACTTGCTGTATATATATAATGAATACTGAAATTTACCTACTCGGAGATGAAGAATAAGCTCATATTTTCGCAAACACCCGGTGTCATCACTGTTCGATGAGGATTCACAGACATTCTCCAGATCAAGTCGGAATCGTACAATGAACTGTAAGGCGGGCATGTTTTGATCGTGGAAAGGGTTTGTTGCTTCCATGTTTCAATTATAAATATATTATTTCTATAAATGGATATTGTGGGATGAGAAGTGGTTTTAGTGGAATGCTTGTGATCAGAGGACCGTTTACGAGTGAGTTAGTGAGTTTAGTTTTACGCCGCTTTTAGCAATATTTGAGCAATATCATGATGGGGGACACCACAAATGGGCTTCACATATTGTACCCATGTGGGGAATCGAACCTGGGTCTTCGGTGTGACAAGCGAACGCTTCAACCACTAGGCTACCCCCACCGCCTCGGATCGTTTACGGGAATGCCATGATAAAAAAATCCAAACCATGTTCTCATTTGGAACATTCGTTTGTAGAAAGTCGAACGTGTGTGTGAATGATTGCAATGGGAAATTTGTTCAAGACCGCAGATTCAATATTAGCTGCTGCAAAAACAGCCCTTTCCTATTTTCTAAACATCCTTTTCCTATTTCTTCTCAAGCACATGCACTCTTAGATTTTTTTTAAAAAGGAAAGTTTTCGAACTTATTTAGCATCTTATTATTAGAAAGGCAAAATCTAAAAGAATAGAATTAATTCAGTATTTGGTTACTGTTCAGGAACATGTAGTTTTACCTGAATCGTGGCGTTAGATGCAAGCACCAATATTCATCGGTACATCAAAGACAATTGAACAAAATACAAATAATTTTGTTTTCCCGAGAATGAAAACTACAGTATATAAAGTTTATAGTTATATTTTTAGAATTAAGAGACTCTTTATCAATGCCATGCAAGGTACATGTGACATCTTACATAAACCAAACTGATTATAATGAATAACGCCTCGATTTGTGCAAGAGTTAATATAATCTGATGTCGGCTTCGTATAGAGTAACGATAATATATTCTCCACATTATTGTTCGTAGCATACATACATTATACAGTATCACAAATAGGTTATTGATAACTTAGTGTACATGCGAATACATACTTCGATACTTACCTAAATTAAAAGAGAATAATTTGCATATCGCCGTAGATGTGACGCACAACATGCTAATGTTGAAATTGGTAATTGTGGAAGTGTGTTGGGTCTTGTCTAACAGTAACTTGGTGACAATCAAATATATACTTATTATATAGTCACAATTGTCAAATATATACTTATATATATAGTCACAATTGTCAAATATATACTTATTATATAGTCACAATTGTCAAATATATACTTATTATATAGTCACAATTGTCAAATATATACTTATTATATAGTCACAATTGTCAAATATATACTTATTACATAGTCACAATTGCACAATCCACTCTGCATTTAGCAGATATTTCTTATAGATGTGGAATTTTGTTTTGTCGCTTCTATTGTTTGCTGGTATTGCTACTAGCAAGTTGTATTTATGTCGTATGTTAGCTTCATCCACGATGGACATGTTTGTTTTATTTAGAGAATTTAAAATTTCGTGTTCGAAACTGTGGATTAGCATCACTACGTACATAATATGACATGACATGTTTACCCGCTTTTAGCAATATTTCAGCAACATCACGGCAGGGGAGACCAGAAATGGACTTCACACATTGTACCCATGTGGGGAATCGAACCCATGGTCTTCGGCGTGACGAGCGAACGCTTTAACCATTAGGCTACCCCAACGTCCCTTTGATTTATAAACTGGATTCGCATTATTACAGGATTTTGGATAGATGATTAATTGGTCGGCTGATGTGATGATCCTCTGCCATAAGGAACGCACGAGTACTGGAATGACATAATCTATGATTTCTCTGAAGTAAGAAATACAACAAACGAATTATGAAGTTCAGACATTTTATGAAATAAATTTACAATCCGTGTATGTACAACACATAACATAAATATCACTAAACAACGCCGGAGACACCTCACGACGACAACAACGGGGGCTGCCACTTTACTGTGGCGGAAGGGCATTAACATCGGGGACATAGAACCAAAATGGCGACCAACTGGTTCTTCGAGCTTCACCCAGCAGATTATTACATTATTCTCCCACGGTTGTTCATATTCCGTCTTTTCCATCAGTCAGGCGCAGTTGGGTTAGCCTGTGTCCATCAAATACACCACCAGCGACGCCGGAAGTCATCGTGGGTTATCTCCCCTTGCCCCTCGCCACGCACAGGGGTCGCATGCACTATATGATACCAGGGCGGCGTCACAACGTCCATTTTAGTTCCGACTCTCGCATTTTCTCGTATGTTGTACTTGAGAAAGAGAGTTTGTGGCAAGACTAGAATACGTGTTTCATTGTCAATCTGACAGGACTCCTAACTGGAGACGTCTAAGTGTTCAACTTCGCCCCTATGGTCTGACTGACTGTCTGTGGCCCCAGTGAGAGAGACACAACTATGAGAGCTATCGTCAGCGCCGTTGCTGACTGCATCGTCCTCGCTCTCTTCCAAATCCACTTTAGACGAGTCGCTACTTTCACTGTCTCTTCTGCGCATGTCTACACTGTCGTCATCAACACAGATTGATGCTTCTGCGTCTTTATCGTCTTCATCCGTCTCTGCTGTAGGTCTTGCGGCGGTTTCACTTCCTCGCTTAACTGCTTCCTCTTCGCGTTTCTGCTTCCTCCACTTTGCTCTCCTGTTCTTGAACCAAACCTAGAACAAACAAGTTGAAGGAATTAGTCACAAAATACACCATACATCGACCCTTTTCAATCGACTTCAGCAGATTTATGAGGTTATGAGCTGTTTGGGAAAAAACGAATTTAATTATGAAATTCGTTTTCTATCAGAGAGATACTATCAGCAAAACAAATAAAACAAAGTTAAGAACCCATTTACTATCCCCGGCGCCACAAGTAAGTCCAAAGGGAGATGGTATCTGTGGACTAATTCTCCTCGCGGAATGTCTTCCCAAGCCCACAAAAACGACCGCATCACTCTATAGAGCCTTGCCCGAGGCTACGCCAGCAACTTCAATGGGGAGAAATTATTATTTCATTTCGACGATCACCTTAGTGACTGGGCCAGTGGTTTCGACGAGAGTAAAGGACTTAAAAGCTGGAAAGAAAGCTATGCGATGGCTTTACATCCATGTAGCGATCATTTGTTGTGCATGACGGTCTCTGCTAATTGCTTGCTATAGTTATTAGAAAACGTGGATCTTTCGCCAGCGTCTGTCAAACGAGACAAGCGTCGGCTATATCCCTTTGATGTTTGGCGCAATATGTATAAGTAATTCCTTAATTCTGTTGTTGTTATATCGATCATGTGCGTGCATGAACAATTTATGGATGTTATTTGCGCCTCTGTTGGCCTCGGGGACTTGGAACTCTTCAACGACTGGAGATACATAAAACAACTACACATGCGCGGAAAGTTGCCGGAGGGCTTATGACAAATGGCTGTCTTGTGAAGCACGGAGAAAAGTTAGCAAAATAATTTAGTGCTACAAAACCAACAAGCCCCAAGTGATGAAACTGATCTCCAACAAAATAAAGACGAAAAGAGGGGGTGTCAGCATCTTGGGGCTGTATTAGCATTGTCTGGCTTCACGGAGACTTCTCGGTCACAATATCTAATGACGGCTGATGAATCTAGGCGACACTCCGCCGGTCCCCACTGCCGAGATCCCCCTAACGCTGATCCCCCTTCTGTACCCCCTTCTCCTTGCCCAGTCACCTGTCCCCGTTGTCCCCTGGATTTCCCTACCTCCATCACCTAATACCCTCAAATAATCACGCTAGCGCGGCTAATATCTAATCGCTCAGAAATAAAAACATTACTTGGTTTTGATTATAATAGCTATCAAATAGACTTAACAGTTGGTTGTGTACAGCCTGGTTTACCTTGCCTGGGGAAACCGAGGGCAACTGGTGCTCACAACAACTCTGGCAACAGTAACAACCGAAACATCTTCAACACAGCTCCAGTTAACTGTCTTACAACGGAATCTTTCATGAGGTTTGTTACATTTTCTTAACAGTGAATCTGTCAAATATTTGGCTATCAAATCCACACAGTGCTATGATATACACCATTCTACCATGGCTACGTTCAGCTTCAAATGAAATTTAGAAACTATCAATTCGGTCTAACATTCATCTAATTTCCAAACACAGCACGTTTATCTCCCAATTCAATGTGTGAGTTATGATCGTCTTAGTGCTAATATCGCTTTGTGGACGCGGGCCTAGGGTTTCCGGTACGTTTCAGTTCCAGAGTTTAAACCTGATGTGTAGTGTCTTTGATAAGCAATATCTCCATAACGGAATAAGCGGTAGTTAATCATGTTATCAGAAAAATATTTAGTCTATTTGATCACCAATGTTCCAGCAACGGGTTAAAGGGTTTTCTATAAAACTTCACATCCAAATTTTAAAGGACGCGGGCAATAAAACGTTTTGCAGCAACCGGTCGACAATTAATATGGAGCAACCGTTTCCATTTGGACGTACATAACAAAGATCTGAACAACTGTAGCACAACATGTTGTGTTTGCACCTCACTGAAGGTGATAAGCACGTGTGCTTGATGTGATGTTCAAGCACTATTAGCATATCACCTCTTGTGGAACCCTTGAACACCATGTTTCTAATATCAATGTCAACAATGTACAATCTCGTTTGAATGTGTTCAATATGAGTTTGGTCGTTACGGTAGGCGAACGCCCAATAAATAATCGTTTGTTGTTGATAAAAAATGGATAGACATAATCTAGTGCTGCTCATTTTCCGAAAGGATTTCATGCATTAAGCCGATATTAAAATATAACCGACTGATCAGTTATTAGATTCTTCAGGATGTTTAATAAAAGTATTTAATTCATGAATCAACCTATGAGACCTGAGATACACAAATGTATGAGCTATGCAAGGTTTGCCAACTGTGCAAATTTAAAAACGAATGCGTATTGAAAGAGCGGGACAAATGGTCACAGTTTAATATGTAATGCTATCAGCTCGCTGCTGTCAGAGGCGCCATGTGCTGGTCGCAATAGCGATATATTGTGGCTGGTTATAGTTAGAGATAGCGATCTTAAGTAAATTGTTCTTCATTGCCAGCTGTGAGCTCATTACATGAGTGCAAATTTCCTACATTGTGGTTTGGTTGGTGCTTTACAACAATACGGGTAGAGTGAGTGAGTGAGTTTAGTTTTACGCCGCACTCAGCAATATTCCAGCTATATGTCGGCGGTCTGTAAATAATCGAGTCTGGAAAAGACTAATACGGGTGGACGTGATGGTGGGTTTGTTGGTACGGTTACAACAATACGGGTAGACGTGATGGTGGGGTTGTTGGTACGTTTACAACTATACAGGTAGACGTGATGGTGGGGTTGTTGATACGGTTACAACAATACAGGTAGACGTGATGGTGGGGTTGTTGGTACGTTTACCACAATACAGGTAGACGTGATGGTGGGGTTGTTGATACGGTTACAACAATACGGGTAGACGTGATGGTGGGGTTGTTGATACGGTTACAACAATACGGGTAGACCTGATGGTGGGGTTGTTGATACGGTTACAACAATACGGGTAGACGTGATGGTGAGGTTGTTGACGCGGTTACCACAATACGGGTAGACGTGATGGTGGGGTTGTTGATACGTTTACCACAATACGGGTAGACGTGATGGTGAGGTTGTTGGCGCGGTTACCACAATACGGGTAGACGTGATGGTGGGGTTGTTGATACGGTTACCGCAATCGGGGTAGACGTGATGGTAGTTGAGCTGACGTGGTTAAATATTTATTTCACCTGACTAACTTTGATCATATCTCTTTAACTGATAAATAACAGTTATATCTACAACCTGCGACTATTCCGATGGTAAGCTTATTCATGATACTCCACATATCTTAACAAGTGAGAAAAGGCTCGGCATTCAATATTGCGGTCAACCACAAAACCAGGACCATAGCAGGTACTTCATTTACCTGACACAACCACCCCCCTGCATCTGCTTGTCATCATATGTGAATGTGCTTACCTCAACCCTTTCTTCCTTCAGGTCAACTTTAATGGCGAGTTCCTCTCTGAGCAAAACATCTGGGTAATGTGTTTTCTGGAAGGTCGCCTCAAGCTGTTCCAATTGTTCTTCGGTAAAGATCGTTCTGTGACGTCGTTTCCGCTTCTGTCCGGCTGCACGTGCCAAATCAGCAGGATTCATAAACCCGGGGAAGGGTGGGTAGGCGGCTGCAATAGTGATAATAAAGATAAAACATCCATCAAGCTATTTATGTCTAAAAAACGGACGACTGGTTTTTTTGCGTATACATGTACTTATGGCAACTAAAACACATGGGGGTCGTTGCCCAAACATGCTAACTGAATTTAAACGAAACCAATTATATATTTCCTTAAAGGTTTTATTTTGTAATAAAATAATTTGATATGGCCATTGACGTTTCTCATTTTTTATAGAAGAATTATATTTCTACGGTTTTAATTTGTATTAAAATATATTAAATCAGATGACAGTATACATGCATTGAGAGGTCATCTTGAAAGCTCTGCCCTAAACAGAAACATTGATAAAATTGATAGAATAATATTTTTTAAATCTCGACATGATTTTTATTAAATTTGTGCACTTGCTGGCCTTGAAGCAGCTGTCACTGCATCCGGTTTTATTTTCGTCATTTAATCCAGCTATGCTATCATGGGGTTATAACAATAACAATTTAAGATGAAGAGAAGTACTAGTATGTGAAACTTTTGATTGGATATATCACTATTGAAATCGATGCGTGTAATCAATCGATTAATGGGTTTCACTGCGGAAGCCACTGTCGCTGTCGTATTTGTCAATTATAACCAATGTGTTCTTTGTGTTTTAATAACACACGCTGTTACATATATGACAATATTTTGATATTAGGTAGATCATTAATAAAGGCCGTTTTTATATGGAGTAATTGTTATTTGCCTATCTATTGCTTCAAACTGTGCCTTGATGCCTGTAGTGTAAACACGCATTATGTTTATTGGCCAGCCATCTCACGAGCAGTTTACTGAGCTCATTTACGCTACAGTAATGTCTATTACCTCCCATATTATTCAGAGTATCGATTTTAACTTAATAAATAATTTCATTAAATTTTCCTAGAGACTGCACATTCTACGAGCTACACAAATACTTACACTGTTGACAATTAACGTCTATATGTGTGAAAAAATATACATAACTCGGTACGTTTATAAAATGTATGTGTCTGGAAAATACGTTATTTACTAACGTGAACCGTGAAATTATTTTCGATTGATTATCTCGATATTATTATGATAGAATAACAAATGTTGCTGTTGTTTTCGGGTCGAATGGCAGAAAATCATAAATCTGGTATCGGCCTCAATTCATATGCATTATCAACCATCATGCGTTGCTGTAATTAGCTGAGAATTACCTTCCGCTTACCTATCGGAAATTCGCAAACGCTTCCAAGAGAGTGGCGACAATTTACTATGTCACCTAAAATCTATTTCGTTTTCATGAATATAATTTCGATTGTGTTTGTTTAGGCAGATTGTGTACAGGCTTTGAGTACATATGCTCTGTTTGTTATTGTTAGCTGTTGATATTAATTATGATATCATTCAAAACGTAAATAGCTTGTTGAAAAATATATTTAGACGTTTATCTTATCTATGCGGATGCTGTTTTCGTAGCAATTTCAAAACGAGTGGTTTTACGTACAGATCTGTTTGTTTAAAAGACAATGACAAAGGAAGAATCTTGCAATGTGTGCTTTGTATATCTGGGATAATCCTGAGATAATCCGGCGATAATTAAAGAAATAGCCCCACTAAGTGAATGTTTTTGTTCGGGGAACATTAGCCTTTTAGCTGAGGTGTGGGTGTATTAGCGTTTGATTGAGCGCGATAGAAAAGCAGGGGTAGGTGTTAACGCTAATAGCTAAGAAAACCATGCGTACATTGCATACGCATTGAAAGATATGGCGGTACAATTTATGTGTTGTTTAAATGGTGATGAAACTCGAGAGTAGCACAAAGAAGCGCTAAATGAACCCCAGGGCAACTCCCCAACCCCTCAAGACACGCATTCCAAACCCTCCTCACACAATGACAACATGGCTCATTCGACCTCGGTTTAACGGAACCCCGGCCTCAATGTTTAATTTCTACGAAATTGGATACATGTCAAAAATGTACAGTGACTGCTTGATATGTGATGAATTTAAATTTATAGTCAAACTTGTTGCAAATGTGTCGACAGGTATGTAGACAAAGAGAATTGTTTTTAGTGCATCACGTATCTTCAAAGCCTTCAAGCAACGTTATTAGTTTTAAACCCCAAAGTAAAACATTCAAATATCCGCCGAGATATATCGTGTTTTCGTTCCATTGTAATTAAAATGCATGGTATTATTTTATTATGTAATAATTAATCGGACGATATGAAGTTATGACTATTTGAATGCGATTACACCAGACCTTGTACACATTCCATAATTGAAACCAACGCTGACGTAAATAGCCTGAATTTCCTCCTATTGATGACATTATTCGGGTCTACGAGATCTTCTACCAGTGTTAGGCGAGCTTACTGCATGCTTTTAGATGTCAACCAGTGACAAATAAATCGAAATAAATACCGTGTTGTTATTCTACTAAAAGCAAATTGCACTTGGCAATTGTTCCTCTGGTTTCCTGTCTGAAGATCTTAAGCATATATCCATGCTTTCATGTCTTTCAAAACTAACCAGTTAATAAAAAGTATATAAACATTTATGGAATACTTGATATTTATTACGCTGTCTTTAAACATTATAAACAATATGATACCGCTTGTATTGTTGAATTAGTTTTAATCTCTCTTTTTTCAGTTCTTTGATGGTAATTTTAACAACAATTATGTTACTCATCATTTTAGTTCAAAACGTTTAACTGTTTATTTCCTGAGTCTGTAGTATACTTAATGTACTCGCCGACAAAGGTCTCCTAATCCATCATAATGAAACTACAATTAAGCAATTAACACAAGCCGTCGGAATGGATTAAACACATAGAGTAATAATCCGTCATGAGAGGGATGTGATTGTTTCAATAGCGTCCTCCGTCATCACTACAACATCAAAGTGAGATTCTGAGAGATTTACCTATTGTAAAACACCGTCTAGTTCGTCACTGATTTCTCCTGCCCTTGGATTAGCCTTGAAATAATATTTATGTAGAAATTAATTTAAATTAATTTAAATTATAATAGAACATTAAAACTTATTTTATTTAAAATGCAAAAAATGCTTTATTTATTGACATGATACGTCGGTATTTCTTAAATTAGGTATTCATTTCAGTACCTAGTGAGGGTATTCATCTGACCTACATATTTAATACAAACTATTTTTGTTTCGTGATGTGTTCTAACACTTTGATTAAAAGTTTAATACTCATATTTACACACCAGGTATAAATATGTCATTTAAATCATATTAAATATCATTTATATTGTCAGTTTTCATATCACTTCAAGGCTTCAACCACATTTCAGCTTTTTTGTTTCATGATTCAAGCTGTAATCAAAAGTTTATAAAATATCCGATAGATTAACTACTAGTATTAAATTCTGTTTCAGGTATCTTAATTTATGCATCGAAATTTTTTTAAGAAGAGTTATTGAAAGTCAAGTTTGTTTGCAAGATATAATACGAAACCCAATTTGCAAAAACTACATACCTGAAACTAATTCCCTTTTCGGTTTAATAAAACTGCCAACCTTTTTTGGGTCAATTTTCAAGCACTTGAAAGGTTAGTAGTACAAAATGTTAATTGTGTAGCTAATACGAAAACGCAATTTGTAATATAAGTCTGCATCGTGTCCGGCCAGCTATTTCCATGTTGCGAGAATCCCTACACGCTGAGAAGGGAAGCTGGAAAATGGCCGACACATAATGCCCAATTCAAATTCTATTATTTTACTTAATGAAGTGGGCTCGGTAACTCACTTAGAAGATGTCCGTGCAATTACAGGCAAAGTAGAATCTCTGCAACTTAGAGTCAGATCCTGTTTGGGGCCGTTAGATTCATTGTGAGAGGGATATATGTGGACCGAGGAAGCAGATTTCTGTTTAATTATCCCTGGTGTGCGCGAACACTTAATCTTCTATGGTATTGCCTTAACTCTTTAACTCATTTTGAATGGATAACAAGTATTGGGTTAATTCTTTAGTTCATGAGTTAATACCGCAATGTGTGGGCATATAATATACACATATATATTGCGGTAAATATAACTATTTAAACTTCATTATAAAAGAATGAATAAACATGGGATTCTGATTTGTTTTTGCGTTATGAGATGAATAAATGGTTATTTGACAGCGGAGACAATGCAAGACTACTTACCGAAGAAGTCGTGGTGGGGTGGTGGCATGCCGGGGTAGGCGAAGTAGGGCGTTGGTCGGTGGGCGAGGATGGGACGGGGGGCAAGGATGCTGTCGATGGTGAAGATTGAAGGGTGGCTTGCCCCCGCGGCCGATGCTGCAAGCATGGAGTTGTGGCATGACTTGAGCTGCTCCGCTGTGTAGTAGTACGGGAGATGGGGCATCATGGCTGCCATGGACGTGGGGACGAGGTCGGCGAGGGTGCGGGGTAGGGCGGCGCGTGAATCCACCGACATGATGTCACAGATGAGATCACTGGTGTAGTAGTCAGTGTTGATCCCGACAACGGCGGTAATACAAGTTCGTTTCCGATGCTAGTCCTAATGCACAAATCAAAATGTCCAACAAGGTATTGTCCAAATACGTCCACAAGTTCTATATATCCCGATGTATGAGACGTGCTGTTGTATCTCAGAAATCTCCACTTGTTAATGTACCCGGGTGGAGGTAGCAATGTTCTGTCACACACCTCCAGTCGCCTCGCTTTATACCCAGGTGACAACCAAAACAGTTTATCCCTAAGTACGGCCTGAGTGGTGAAGAGATCATTTTATTGCAGTTTAATGAAATTACCTTAAGCCCTGCCCACTCTTATTGTACGGCGCTATTCATCCCGTACCAGCCTGTCAAACTGTTTCAGAGGCTTTTGTCGCTGTTCTGATTGACAGGTACACCCAGCCAATCACAGAGCTCGCAATGGTCATGGTTCACTGGCGGCTCTATGCATATTCATGAGCTGTCGCCATCATCGGGCCGTTCGAGCTGTTGAGGGCAAGAGTCACTGTCTATAACTCGCACGTTTGCACATACTGTCACAGGACTTGTTAAATTCTTCTGTATGTGAGTGGAATGTCTTGCTTGTTATAGGTACATTACATATTTATCATTTCAATAATGCTACACCACTAGATACAATTTAATAATATATATTCCAGTTATAAGTCAAACATGTTTTTGTCATTATACCAACCGTATGTGCCTTTATTTAATCATTTTGTTATTCGAGGAACATGCTGACAAATTATAGCACTTTTTTTGGAATTGTTGATCAATCCGCCTGCGTATATTGACATGGTAAATTTTGTATTTTAAACTGATAGATTATTATGAAATGTAATGCGATATATTTAGGAAACGATGTTGGGGATGCAATTGATGCTACGGACAAGCCAGCATCCATGAATATACCACCAGAATAAACATTTACAATAAAATGAGGATAGATTTTAAAATATCATCAAAATGACTTCACACTCTTTAAATGGCAATGTATACATGCCGTATAATCTAAGTTATATGTTTTGGAGAGATATTCGACTTTATTTCGTTTTTATATATTTACGAACAGTGATATGTTGTTATTTCATATATAAACACACTCGCCACAGACCACACAGTAGAGAGTTGTACATCTCCTGTTGTACCGTACAAAAACTGTTATAGTATTATTAATAGTAATAGTAATAGTTTTTGTGTCATACCTACATGTATATTTGATCACACACGCGTTGTTTAGATGGACTTATTTGGCCTAAGAGACATAATTTTGTGTGTTGTATTATAGAATCCATTATACAATTTACAAAGCTGTACATACAATAAATATACCAGTTTAATGACCTGTTGGAGTAGTTGTGATGTATTACCGATGAATGTATGCTTGAGAATATGTGACATTTTGAAGGGTTTTTACGAAAAGTGAAATCCCCTGCTCTCTTCGCCTTCACCACAATAACATTGTGAATATTGTACTATGTACCCAATGTTTCACCACAATGAAATACCAGATCATCACCACCCCTCCCCCAACCTAACTAACCCCGAAGAAATACTACTCTATCATTTTGATCTCTATAACGTCTTCTATTTAACCAAATAAATCGATAGAGAAAAATCATATTGATTCATAGCAGTTATCAAAACATATTACTTATTCCGACCTTACGATTTAATGACTTACCGCCAATCCCTTTGTGCTTAGCACTTACGTGGTGGTTTACATTAAATCAAGACATAGTATTTTAATTATTCTCTACCACGGGGAGTTCTAGTTGCTTGAACTCAGAATTATGGATGACAGTCCTCATTATTTACTATACAGTTATTGTTCGTACGCATCCACATTGACGCGAAAACAATCACCCATCAGCGTAACCAGTCACTCAGCTCAACTCTACGCATAAAACACAAAGATATTTCCCTAGATAAAAAAACATCATTAAACAAAGTTTATGCTTGGTGGCATGTTCAACTAAAGTCACAGTGTATGAATTGCAGCCAGTGATGGATCATACGATCAAATGCCTGCATCAATTGTTTGAAGTAACTTGAACATGCAAATATAAATAATATCCTAAAAATAGCGTTATTTTGTAAAAATATATAGCGATATTATTATGGGAAGCTTATTTGATTCATCATGCTTTAGTTGTTTTGAAAAAAGTGCACAATGAAATCGGTAAATTTTAACGGATAATGTTACGGTACCAATGTTACAGGTGTGAGGCTTAGCCTAGATGTACATACATGTGTGTTTAGGCGGCGGGTGAAGCATGTGTTGGAAGTGAGATTGCCAAGAAAACACTGACATGGTTTACTGAGGGATTACTTCATTAAATCTGACACAAGGTGTTAATGCTATCTTGATGTGACCAGTGCATACATCCGTTTTAATAACATTTGTTCCTCTGTGCTATAATCTTGGTTTATCCAATCTTTCCTGACCTTAGAGTCGTGTAATACGGTAAAGGTGTTAATGAACTACGAGATTTAGCTGATGAGTATATAAGTGTTTCTTTATTTATCTTGAACAACTACATGTTTGGCCTTTGTTGTAAGGTGGAAGCTAATGTGTTTGATGTCCGTTTTGTACTGCAGTTACAAATTGCACTTTAGCAAATGTTACAAACATAATAAATTCCCCATATCTCTGTACAGTAACAAATCGTACAATTGTACACTTACAAACTTTTACAAATATAATGAATACCCACTATGTGTCTGTACAGTTACAAATTGTACAATGCCAATGTTACAATTGTAATACCGCTACAATTGTCCACTTGGTGCCATAATGTATTTTCTGAACAGTTTCAATACTACAGAATATGTGTTTTATAAACAAACGAATTTTTCAAGAATCACCGTAATATCTGTACATCTGACTGAGTGTGTTTATTGATTCTATAACGAAGCTGAAGAAATATATATTTATGGATGTAGTATGTTAAAATATTCATCGTAGGACATTCAGCATCTCTTAACAAGACAGGGTATCTCATGCAATGCAGGTTGTGAAATTTGAACGTTGTCAGTTTGGTGCTGAGGTTGTGCTTTCCACACAAAGTAACAAATTGTTTTGGCAGAAAAAAATAAATTAAAGCGTCTTATTCTAAACCAGGCAATATCCCTGTTTCCCCGTAGGAAGGGTGTGATAAGTAAGTAAAAGGTTCGTTTTGATTTATAATTGTCAGTTGATGTGATCAGCTTTCGTACGCAAACGGTCAATTCCGACTCAATTTACCGTCATTAGTTAAACCTGCTACTATTGTTTACTGGAAAATTGGGGACAGCAGCGCATTCGATTACCCCCCTTTGTTTTGGTGAAAAGGAGAAAGGGCGAGATTTAGCGAGAAATCTTACGTAATTAATCAGATTGGTCAATGCAGCCACGGACTGCACAAAGAGATGGGGAGCGTTAAGCAAACAGTGCTCGCTCTCTTTATTAAAATCAATTACCTTGAAAAGGTTGTTTGTACAAGTATTTATTTCAAAGCAGGCTTCTAGTAAAGCTTCACATTGTACGCTGTTTAACACAGCCATAGTTCCAGTATAGCCATGTACACGTCATAATCCACCATCGCTGATGTATAATCCAACGTGGCTACTTTCAACCGGATAACTTTCCCTTCAGAATATTCATTTCAAGTTTCTATTATTTTCTTTTGAAGATGTAAATTAATACCGAAATTAATAATTAAAAATGTCAACGTAAGTGAATAACCAATCTGGGTTATCCGGCCCCAAATTTAGTTTTGGCCTAAAAGGCAAAATAGCAGTTTTGACTGCATCGCTGGAACTGATGATGACACCAGGTGTTCCCGAAAAACGTTTTCTGTCACAGGTAATTGATTATGGAGGATGTTACATGATAAAATATAAACTTTATTTGTTATACCGAAGGCTTGTGTTTTACACTCACAATATTCTTTTGAACAAATTTAAATATAATATGTACGGTTTGTTAAAAAAGTATAATTTTTTTCTGTTTTGGAATAGCATAATCTGTATTTTTGAAAATCAGCTTCGTTCATCAGTGACAAGTCCCTATGTTTAATATTTATCAAACGTTGATATGCTACTGTCCTAAACACATTCCGATGTATCGACCCTCGCTAACAGCATTCCACACTCTCCCCCAGGCAGAATCGCATAAACCCATCTGCAAATAATATTCATGTAGCAGATATCAATTCCAAGTCGATAGTATTCAAATTGAATTTAGACTAAAAACCTGAATTCTTATCATCATTTCTAACTGCAGGCACTTTCTCGTCAGTTTAGCATCACGCGAAATCATTAAGGCACTTTACACCGCACTCGGTAAGCACTTCACGACTGAAACAATGCCCCGATGGCTGATGTGCTACCTGATGGTGGAACGCGGGATGATATCAGTTATATTAACCTCGCTTTACGGCCTTTAAGAAATACCTATATCGAGCGTACCAATCGTCTTGCAATGCCCGGGGGTAACACAAATACGGAGCTGGACTCAGCTGATAAACCCTCCCCTTGCCTTCTGGGGGTGCCGGTGTTAACAGCGTCACCGACGGAGTCCGCATAACGTACACGAGATTTGCCATGTATCTATCCAGGTTATGTGACGATATTGCTGATGCGGGGCTGATTGCTGTCGTTGACAAGTACTGCATACATAATTGCCGATTAAACTAATATGATATCAGAGCTAACATGGTGGTTGGCTAACACCTGTGTATAGCCTGCTGTTGTAGCTGGTAGTAGCATGTACAGGTTGTATGGTTGTATTCAAATGTAACGAATGACCATGTATGCGTGCGTTATCCTTAACAGAAATCTCAACCACGAAACTTGTGTGTAACATTGTTTGTAGCGAATGTCCAGTTATGCGTGTGGTATCTGACCCAAGCACATCTTAGCAACAAAAACTGTGTAATCAGATATAACACAGTCTGAAAATTAAATAAATCAATGAATGAATAAACGACAATATATGCTACACGGAACAGTTCATTCGTAACACAGGATGTTTCTTTAACTACGCGTTCCGATATTCGTGTGGCATTTGAACCGGTCATCATGTTCGTTCTGCACGTGCATGACGCATGTGCTTCAAGTGCCATTGCAGAAAGTAGGTCAATTATTTATGAATAGTCTCTAAACCAAAATGCTTAACAGTAAGACATTGTTAAAATATGTGATAGTAAATATAATTTGTACTTACGATTTCAATGAATAAACCAGACAATATTTTTTAGACTCTGTACACCATACT